ATGGTTCTAATGGTTTTCCTTCGGCATTACCTCCTTATCCTAATCTTCTGCCACTACCACCGCCTGATCCAAATCCTCCGCCACCACCGCCATACCCAACGCTATAACCTCCGCCGCTTCCACCACCATATCCTCGGCCATAACCTTCATGATTTCACTGTGCAATATGCAGCTCCGACAAAGTTCAACAGCAGTAAAGTTGTCATACCCATGGTGACTTTTGTTTGACGATTCTAAACTAGTGTGGTGATGCGACTGCTTGGATCTGTATTTATACCTTTTAATGTAATCAGAACTACTTTTTGATTGAAAATACTTAAACAATTAAATTTGATTGATCATAAGTGATTCGACATGACTTTTATAACAGCCATTTATAAAATAAAAAAAAATAAGATCTTTCTGAATATATATTTTTCTAAATATTTTTGTCAATCTTCTTTGAACAAATTACATCATGTGACAGTATTTATTTACAGAAAAAATCAAAACATATATTGCTTGGCCTAATGTCATTAAGTCATTTTCATGGTCCTTTGTAGAGCGTCATCGTTGTCTGATTAAAAGATTGATGAGCCAGGGTTTTGCCAAGGATAATCCCGTCATTTTTCTCAAAACTTTCATCTGACAGTATCCATACCTAATAGATAAATGTTCAGTATCTACTTCACAAATAATGCAAGATGGTCTTCAGATATAGATTATATGTGCTAAAGTTGTGTATCTTTTAATTTACTTTACAGATTTCCCCTTATTGCATATGCAATGTGCGCAATGAATATACAACTACAGATTTGTTTTGTTTCATTCCTTTGCAAGAAAAATACAAAGAATAAACAATTAAATTAGAAATTTGGCTGATTATTTGTCATGGCATTTATTCAACAATATTCAACGATATTCAGCAATATAAACCAACAAACAACCAACATCAACAAACTGGCCAACAAGTTAAAACTTGGTGACAATTGGTCACTGAAGGTAAAACCAACAGTAAATGCAAAACAATGTCTAGCTGCTGGGCAGATCTATAACAGCTCAATGAACAATATTTGAATAAATCACTGCCAATTGAATCATGTTGATGATGACATCCAAAGCACTTTCCATATTGAACGGAATGCCATGACGACAGACATTTTTTTTTTAATCATTACTGCAAATTCCTTGATTTTTCAAGTTTCATTGAATCTGCCGATAAATGTTGAAACGTCTGACATTTTTGATGATACATGACAATTTAATTGGAACATTCAATATATTTGGATCTGTTCATCATGTAATCTGAAAAATAAACTTAGAACAGCAGCAATTTTCTTTATTAAAGGGAGGGAGGGTGGGTTGTGCAATCGTGTTGAAAAATACTCGTGGAATGAAATTTGAGCGGGAACACGTGTTTATATATGACCAAACTCCACGAGGTGCTTCAAAGTATATTCTTTCGTACGTTTAAATATAAGGTTGTAAGAATTTAAATGGCAAACCGTGAATAATGACATGACTGTACATTCGAAACACCATACACAAATAAATGTATTTTGAATGCAATAAATCAATTTAATTATTAGATCATTAAATATTATTATTTGTCCTGGTGCTATTTTTTTCCTTTTGGTGCAGGTAGGTCCAGAGGTGCAAATCGGACGCAAGAGGTTTTTACAGTTTTGTTTTCATTTTGTTTACCCTCGTCCTTATGTTTTACTTAAATTTTATGTTATCGAGAAAGCGTATTCTATATATACTGTTTGTACATGTACTATCAAATACCGAAAATATTTTTTTCTTGTCTTTGTCAGGTTAACTGTCAGCTACAGGGGCTTTTTTTCTGGCGTTTTTGTTGGATATGTGTTTTCGAAATTTTGGTCCGTTGTATATATGTCTGTGGTGTATGCTTGCACAATCCTGGTTGCTGGATTCCAATAATGGTCATATTGGCCTATTTTGTTTATTTGGGTGGCTCACTTTGTTTTGTCAATAAAGTGAACCATACACAACTGTCATTCAATAGGAAGGTTAAGCTAGCAATACAACCAGATTAGGCCCACCATTTTCTTTGGAAAAGGCCTGTACCAAATCAGGAATGTAACAGTTGTTTTACATTCATTGCTTATACATGTATACTCATGTTTATATTACCTAATGAAATTGCGCCGAATTGATCTATTTGATAATCCAGCAATGTAACTAATACTAAGGGCACATCATTGTATATCTTTACATAGGAAATTTCGTAATGCTAATAAACAAAAAAACAATCAATGAATTGTGTACGTACGAAATAACAGTTAATGAATTGTGTACATACGAAGTAACCCTTTGAATTCTTTGTAATTTGTCTGATATAAATATAGAGAATTTGAATTTTTTTCTGTTTAGTTATGAAACTCAGAGAATCATATTACAGTGAAAGGCACTCTGTTATTTTCGAAGGTCACTAATGTCATACTAATCAAATCATAGAAAAAGAATTGAATGCACATATGAAGTCTTAAACATCAATCGATAATTTTTGTCCAGAAAACAGATATATCAAAACCAATTGCATTTCCGAAATCAAAATGAAGACAAATAAAATTGTCACTTTCGACAATCAGAATTTTTCAGATAACCATGTGTTTTTGTGTCCTGATGTAAAATTACACTTTGTATAACAGACACAGTGTTTCCTTGAGAATTTGATTGGTATTGAACATTATTGAATCTTACATGGTTATAATATACAATCTGGAGTCGGAAAAGTCCAGTTCATCATTATTTTGATATAAAGATCACAGGGACAAATTTAAATTTATAAAGTCTATAATGAATATAGCTAAAATAAAAAAAAAACAAAAACAAAACCAACAGGTACGAACTCATCAATAATATAAGACTTCTAATCTAAAGTAAAATGGGATACCTGTTCATTATATAACATGGAAATTGCTGCTTAACGACGAGCAATTAAAAAAAAATACAAATTCTTATAAAAAAAGTTGTGTTCGTCGTTCCAGAGTCTACGAAAGACGAGACGATTTTAATTTTGAAATTATAAATTTCCCCCACCTTAGCAGCAATATATATAAACTTTACCTGCATATAGGATGTACATTTTTCAAACTCATTTAGTATTCAAGAGCATGCAGCTGCTACTCGGGCTTTATGAAAAGTTACCAGTGTCTTAGCAAAAAATTCATCGGAAGCTACCAAGACCTTATTGATAAATATTCCTTATCAACTTCACAAATCATACATGATGGTCTTGAAGTATAGATTCTAGGTACTGACGTTGTTTCTAATCTTAACTACGTGTTTTGTTTTTCTTTTGTAATTGGACATTATAATCGCTTATTTTACTGTAGAATTGTTTCGACAGTATAGAATTAAGAAAATTCTCTGTAACCACCAACCATTCAAAATTAGGGTTAAGGGTTCGGCACTGGTATTCACTGATTTTCTTTATACTTAGCCTGACCATATACTCAGATGAAAAAGTAAGGACAAAAAAGTGTTGCTAGGCAACGGTTGTCAGTGAGATTTCATGAACATTTTTGGGAATTTAGCATTGAAAAGAAAACCAATTTGCAGGCATTCTGAAGCGAAATCAGATTTCATTTAATGATGTTTTTCAATTTGTTTTATAAACATGATACTTATCGAACATAACAACACTGTTATATTTGAAAAGTGTTTTGATTGAATATTATCACAACCGCAGAAGCAGAAATCATTTTTTATTGTATTTGTGTATGCAAATTATACACATTTAGCATGAACAAAATATGCAGTTTTGCATCCACTCCATTTAAGTTGTGGTAATAAAGATAAAGTATCATTTTTTTCTAGTCAATGATTTACAACAAAATGTTTGGGATTTAAGGTGCTAGATTGGTTGCAATGGAAACCAAAGTGTGTAAGTTTGTGGTTTTTTGTTTTCTTCAGAAATTCAACCATGTTATCAAGATAACCCGGAAACTGTTTCTACTATTATTTATACGTAGTGTAGCAATATTATCACGTTGTAAGCGTTAATGATCATAGAACGCGGAATCATGCCTCTCTTTAGTCGAGACACTATAACATTGTATAGGTTAACCAAGTTGTCATGGTAACAATGTAGTTATACACCATGTACATGTCATTTGGGAGAAGTGCTTTATGCCCAAACTTAATGCAACTACCTGCATTCTTTTTTTCCAATTTTAAAACAAAAAAATGGACAAAGACGTTCAACGCATAACATAATGAATAAATCATATATAAAGAGAGAAGCGACAAATATTAAAAGAAAGTAAAATAACAAAAATACCGAACTCCAAGGGAAATTCAAAACGGAAAGTCGTTAATAAAATGGCAAAATCAAAAGCTCAAACAAATTTAACGAATGAAAACAAGGGGCATTCAAACTCATAAGCCTAGAACATACCTTCAACCCATGGCAAAAAATGAAAAAAAGACCAAAGGACACACAACAATTTACAAAACACAACATTCATAACTTAAGACTGAGCAACACGAACTCAACCAAACAAAAGAGCCCGGGGCTCTAGGAAAGTCAGGAAAGTTAGGAAAACAAGTATGTTTTCACATTCAATAGTCATAATTTTTTAAACTGTTTCTTTAAAAAGCACAAAAGTCGGAAAATTTAAAGAATCTTTTAATATCAGGTTGAAGAAGCCTCTAAAAACTGTGGTGTGGTATTTTTTTATAATCAGTGTAATGCAGGAAAGCAAATAATGCATGGTATGCATAAAATAATATTCACATCTACTCAACGTAAAACAAAAACGACAGGGAAACAAATTTGAACTTAGGTTTGAGGTACAAAATGTTCATTCAACAAATTTATCAAATTAAACGCAGCATTGATTTTTTCAGTGAAAACATTATAATATATATAACCTTGTCCAAAAAAAAAAGGTTTGATCTGCCAGTAATTGTGAAAGAATATTATTCATGAATATGTTTTTAATTGTAGTTTTATTAACGACACATTATAATCATTGTCAGACGAAACATATTTAGTATGAATATCCTGTTCTATGTGAACTAGATCCTCCACCAGAACCTCCACCGTAACCACCACCGGAACCTCCACTGGAACCTCCAGCGGAACCACCACCGGAACCACCACCGGAACCTCCACCGGAACTTCCATCGGAACCACCACCGGAACCTCCACCTGGCAAAACAATATATGAAGCACTGCCGTATCCAGATCCTCTTTCATATCTAGCTCCAGCTCCATAACCAGTTCCGTCACCATATCCAGCTCCACCTCCATAACTAGATCCTCCTTCATATCCATATCCTCCTCCATATCCAGCTCCATCTTCATAACCAGATCCTCCACCATATCCAGATCCACCTCCATAACGAGATCCGCCACCATATCCAGATTTAACTACATATACCGCTCTGTCACCATATCCAGCTTCGCCACCATAGCCTGCTCCACCCCCATATCCTGCTTCGCCCCCATGTTCAGATCCGCCACTATCTCCAGATCCACCTCCAAATCTAGCTCCTACACCGATTCCTCCAGCGTAACTACGGCTAGATACCTTTCCTGATAACACCTTGCAGCATGTATCCCATTTCCAAGGAAACAATTTGGTGAGTCTGCATTGTTTGTCCAATTGAACTTCTCCTTTTAGACATTGTCCTGGACGACATGTACACCAGAAGCGCCCATCTGTAGAAAACGATGGCAAACACACATTTAATTGTTTTCAAAACGTATAATACTTTATCAATTATCAAGGGACTGACATTAGAAATAATTTAACTTGCTTTGAAGCAATGTTTAAAATCTACTGTTCCATCAATAACAAAATAATGATCGTAAGATGAGTACTAGGCCACTGTTAATGACTCTAAAAATATACAGGTTTCATGATTATATTGGTGTATCTGGTCGATACGTTTGTAGAAATTATTGATATCTATTCATTAAATTGAAATTTATTTTTAATATCGTATTAGGCTTTTCTAGGACAAACGTTTTGGTTTAAGACAGTAAATTCAAAAAAAAAAAAAAATTTACAATTCCCATTTCAATTCCAAGGAAACATAGCAACCATTTTCATTTTGAAATTTTTTCATACTGTTGCACGATTCTAAAAAGAACGTTTTATCTTACTCACTAAAGACATTACATGTGTCATTGTGTTTTGAAAATAATTGACATTCAGCATGCTTCACTTAATTGATATTCGAGAATATTGATTCTGTTATAGTTCATGGAACTTCTTTTTCAGTTATATATCAAAGTAGAAATTAAGTACTGGTAATTTAAAAAAAGAATTTCTGTAACATAAACTGACCTCCTTTTTCACCTCCACCAACGCCGGATCCTCCTCCTCCGGCTAATACCAATCTTACGGCACCACCGCCTGATCCCAATCGTCCGCCACCACCGCCATATCCAATGTCGCTTCCACCACCATATCCTGTGTCAGATTTCACCGTGCTATATGCAGCTCCGACAAAACTCCACAGCAGTAAAGTTATCATACCCATGGTGACTCTTGTTTGACAATTTTAACCTAGTGTGGTGATATGACGGCTTAGATCTGTATTTATACCATTTGATGTCATCTGAACTACTTTGAGATTCTGATTGATAATCATTAAACAATTAAATTTGATTGATCATAAGTGATTCGACATGACTTTTATAAGAGCCATTTATAAAATAAAAAAATAGATAAGCTCTTTCTGAATATATAAATTTTTTAAAAGTTTTTTTCAACCTTCTTTGAACAAATTACATCATGTTACCGTATTTATGTACAAAAAAAAGTTAAACATATATTGGCCTAATGTTATTAAGTCATTCTCATGGTCCTTTGTAGAACGTCATCGTTGTCTGATTAGAAGATTGATGAGCCAGGGTTTTACCAAAAAGCATCCCGTAATTTTTCTCAATAGTTCATCTGAAAGTATCCAGACCTAACAGATAAATATTCAGTGTCTACTTCACAAATTATACAAGATGGTCTTCAGTTATATATTTTATGTGCTTAAGTTGTGTATTGTTTTATTTACTTTACAGATTTCCCTTTATTTGTCCTTGTGCTATGATGCTCCTTTTGGTCGTACAACAGTTGCAGTGACTCGGTATTTCTGCATCCAGCTGTCTGGTCCTCGGCTTTGGTCGTACCTGGTGCAGGTAGGTCCAGATGTGCAAATCTGACGCAAGAGGTGTTTACAGTTTTGTTTTCATTTTGTTTACCCTCGTCTCATATTGTACTTAAATTTTACTTTATTGAGAAAGCGTATACTATATACTGTATGTACTATCTACTACCACAAATATGTGTTGATGTCTTTGTCAGGTTAACTGTCAGCTATAGGGGCTTTTTTGCGTCTTTGTTGGGTGTGTTTTTTGAAATTTAGGTCAGTTGTATATATATTTCTGTGGTGTATGCTTGCACAGTCCTGGTTGCTGGATACCAATAATGGTCATATTTGCATATGTTGTTTGTTTTGGTGGCTCACTTTATTTTGTCAATAAAGTGAACCATACACATCTGTCATTCAATAGAGAGGTTATGCTAGCTATAAAACCAGATTAAGCTCAACATTTTCTTTGGAAAAGGCCTGTACCAAATCAGGAATGTGACAGTTGTTTCACATCCATTGCGTATACATTTATACTCATGTTTATATAACTAATGAAATTGAACCAAATTGATCTATTTGATAATCTTACAATGTAACCAATAACAACGGCACGTCTTTGTATATCTTTATATAGGAAAAGACTTAGTGCTAATAAACAAAAAACAGTTAATAAATTGTGTACATACGAAATAATTCTTTGAATTCTTTGTAATTTGTCTAATATAAAGACAGCGAATTTTAATTTTTGTTTTCTGTTTTAGTTTTGAACTTGGAGAATCATATTACAATGATAATCAATATGTTAGTTTCCAAGTTCACCAATTGCATTCAAATCAAATCAAAGAATAGAACGAACATACGAAGTCTAAAACATCAATCGATTTTTTCTCCAGAAAACCGATATATTAAAACCAATTACAATTCCTAAATCAAAAAGAAGACAAATAAAATTGTCACTTTCGACAATCCGAATTTGACGGATAACCATGTGTTTTTGTGTCCTGATGTTAGAATTACACATTGTATAACAGACACATTGTGTCTTTGAGAAAATGAATGGTATTGAACATTATTGAATTTTGAATGGTTATACGATACAATCCGAAGACGGAAAAGTCCAGTTGATCATTATTTTGACATGAAAATTACAGTGACAAATTTTAATTAAAAGTCTATAATAGATTTAGCTTAAAAAAACGTAACCAAGAGGTAAGACTTGTAATATTAAGTAAAATGGAATACCTCTTCATCATACAACATGGAAACAGCTGCTAAACGACAAAAATTTAAAAAACTACAAATTGTAATAAAAAAGTTGTGTTTCTCGTACCAGAATCTTTCAAAGATGAGGCGATTTTGATTTTGAAATTATAAAAAATGAAAACAACACGTTATAAATGTAATGCGTCCGAAGCGCTTTTTTGGATTTACCTTCATCAGGAACGCTCAAAGCCGAATTTTTGAAAGCCAGATAAATCAAATTTCCCCCACCTTAGGAGCAATATACCTACTTCACCTGCATATACGATATACATTTTCCAACTCATTTGGTATTCAAGAGCATATAGCTGCTACTCAGACAGATAATCAGATAATTTTTTTGTGAATTTAGCATTAAAAAACAACTACTTTGCAGGCATTACGCAGCAAAATCAGATTATATTTGATGATATTTGTTTATATGTTTTATGACCATGAAAAAAGTAATTTCTATTGAATGACTATGATGTGGAAATTTTTTGAGCATTACATGACCTTCAATTTGACCCAACGTCAAAGTTAATTGATGACCTTGACCTTTGATCTTGCGTATATTAATTAGATTTTGTAAGAAAAGATAATAGAAAAAAAAACAACGAATACAAGAAGAATATGTTCAGGATGATTAAAACCACAATTTTGTTTACAAGTCAACAGTAAGAAGTCTAGGCCATGTCAAAAGTGTTTAGCAACCACCCTTATTTGATATAAAATTACCTACATGTAGTTACAATGCATGTTTTATGGACTTATGGATTATTACATGGACCCTAACTAAAAAGGTCAGGGTTGAATGTTATCACACTTGTCCTCAGCAACCATTCATTTATAGTTGAGAAGTGCCTATCAACCTTTCATTTATAGATAAAAGTGCCTTGCAACCATTCATTGATATTGGAACTATTTATTTGTATTGGAAAAGTGACTAGCAACGATTTTTTTTCGGTTACATTCAGACAAAAATCAGAAAAAAATTGATATCAAACATGGAGTTTTCTTTTATTAGTATTCCCTTTAAAGAACACACATTGTATGTATCGAATTGTTGAATTACACTAACTTGATTGTACACATCTTAATCCAGAATAGTCTATTATATGGAAAATTCAATTTCAAGGTTGAAAAAAATAATCCTAATACAAAAATAAGAAGATGTGGTATAATTGCCATTGAGACAACTCTCCACACAAGACCAAAGGTTACAAAAACAGATGCATTTTTTGTTCTGGAAAATTTACTTTTTATCATGTAGATGTTATCTATTATAGTTTTTAAGCTAATTATAAAATCTCAAAATAATAATAATACATGTAGACAAATGGCCTAAAGTGGTCACTTCACTGACAAAGAAAACGTTACAGTAACAAGCTTTTTGTATCTATTGGATATACTGATGTAGTTCAATGAAATGGCTATTCAATTATTTATTCACTTTTTTAGTTTAAGTCTTTGATGACGCATTGACTCTTGCCGTTACGAATATTTTTGTGTTTGCATTGTGGATTTGCTGTCTTATTAAAGATGTATCTTCTTCTATTACTGTGTACTAAATAAAAGTTTATAATAAATGCAAACATTCGCTATTGTTCCATTCATCATGCGAATTTTTCTATTTTCTTCTGTATTCGGGAAAAAAATATTGCCCTAAATCAAGTATGAGACTTAATATATAATCACTGTCGCCATATAAGTTTTTGTAAAACACCATGTACATTATCTCCGAAATGGCCTATGTACAATAGAAACAATGCTTCCCTCAGATGTTTTGACCATGATTAGATTAAATCTTCTTAGGTTATATGACCCATTATGCTGTCGTCGCTATCACAATATAACCATAACCAGCACCGCCATAATATCCAGATCCCTCTCCATATCCAGATCCCTCTCCATATCCAGATCCTTCTCCATATCCAGATCCACCTATATATTCTGCTCCGCCACCATATCCAGCTCCGCCATCATATCCAACTCCGCTTTCGTATAGATCTCTACCTCGACTTCCACCTCCGCCACCAATTCCAGCTCCGCCACCAATTCCAGCTCCGCCACCAATTCCAGCTCCGCCAACAGTTCAAGCTCCACCAGTTCTACCGTAACTACGGCTTGTTACCCTTCCTAGTAACACCTTGCAGCATGTATTCGATTTCCGTGGAAACAATGGGGCAAGTCTGCATTGGTTGTTCAAACGAAATTGATTTAGTCATTGTCCTGGACGACAGGTACACCACAAGCGCCCATCTATAATTAACGATGGCAACACACAAAGAGTTGTATTTGAAAACGTTCATTACACAAGGTCATGTTTTTTTCTGACTGTTAATGAAGTCTTAACAATAAAAAGCAATGACTAAGGGATGTGTACTGGTTGATATTTTAGTCTGAAATGCATGATTTTTTATTAGTTGTTATTGGCTTTGAACTAGCTGTCAGTGACTGTGAGTACTCTCAGATCTGTACTAAGTGTCTGTTTTGTTGTTGGGATGTCTGTTTATTTGATGTATCTTCTTCTATTACTGTGTACTAAATAAAAGTTTATAATTAATGCAAACATGCGCTATTGTTCCATTCATCATGCGAATTTTTCTATTTTCTTCTGTATTCGGGAAAAAAATATTTCCCTAAATCAAGTATGAGACTTAATATATAATCACTGTCTCCATATAAGTTTTTGTAAAACACCATGTACATTATCTCCGAAATAGCCTATGTACAATAGAAACAATGCTTCCCTCAGGTGTTTTGACCATGATCAGTTTAAATCTTCTTAGGTTATAAGACCCATTATGCTGTCGTCGCTATCACAATATATATCCGGTTTGCATCTAGCTTTGATGGTTCTAAGTCAAATTGAATTACTATCTAAAATGAAAAGCACTATTCAAAGACAAATGAAGAGGTACCACTTGCTTCGCAAATATTTACCTTCCTGTTATTATGTCCATATTAAAGAACATATTTTAATGCACTACGTAAATCTTTTGTGTTTAAGCATTAAGGATCTTAGAAAGTGAACACATGCCACACAATGGACAAAAGTATTCAACGTATAGTTAAGTATAGTTAAGCATAGCATATAATGAGTAAATCATACGTTTAAAACACGACCTCCCCCCCCCCCCCCCTCCAAAAAAAATAATAAATAAACCGAGGTGTACAATGAAAATTGGAAAAAAGTATGTTTTCGTACTCAAACGTCATTTCTTTTTAAAATGTATATTCAAAAACCTGGAAAAGGCAAATGAGTAACAATTTAAAGACAATTTTCCTTTTAAATTTTAGAGGCCTCTAAAAGCAACCCAGGTATAGTCTGTTTTTTACTAAGTCTATTTTAGGATAGCAAATGAGTCATGGATTGTATAAAATGGTATTCAAATCCTATCAATGAACAACAAAGTCGACAAGGAAACTAAATTAGATTTCTGGTTTAAAGGTCAACCTGTACATTCAACGAATGTATTGAATCAAACGTAATATTGATCTTTTTAGTGAAAACATGTATATGCATATCACTTGGTCTAGAAAATAAAAACCTTTTGATTTGCCATTGATAATAAAAGAAACTTGTACATGAATATGTTTTAATTGTAGTTTTTCATACGGCAAAATATATTCATTTTTATAACATAATAAGTGTTGTTAAATTTTTATTTTGTATGAATCTCCTATACTGACCGGACAATATCCCTGATCATATCCTTCACCAGAACCCCATCTTACATAAGAATAATAGTAGGCCCACTGACATATCCTCAAGCTCCGCCACCATAACCAGCACCGCAATAATATCCAGATCCCTCTCCATATCCAGATCCACCTATATATTCTGCTCCGCCACCATATCCAGCTCCGCCATCATATCCAACTCCGCTTTCGTATAGAGCTCTACCTCGACTTCCACCTCCGCCACCAATTCCAGCTCCGCCACCTATTGAAGCTCCACCAGCTCCACCGTAACTACGGCTTGTTACCCTTCCTAGTAACACCTTGCAGCATGTATTCCATTTCCGTGGAAACAATGGGGCAAGTCTGCATTGGTTGTTCAAACGAAATTCACCTTTTAGTCATTGTCCTGGACGACAGGTACATCACAAGCGCCCATCTATAATTAACGATGGCAACACACAAAGAGTTGTATTTGAAAACGTTCATTGCACAAGGTCATGGTTTTTTCTGACTGTTAATGAAGTCTTTACAATAAAAAGCAATGGCTAAGGGATGTGTACTGGTTGATATTTTAGTCTGAAATGCATGATTTTTTATTAGTTGTTATTGGCTTTAAACTAGCTGTCAGTGACTGTGAGTACTCTCAGATCTGTACTAAGTGGTCTGTTTTGTTGTGGGGATGTCTGTTTATTTGATTCTCCTAATGTTGACAATAAAGTGAAACATACATAACTGTCATGCAATAGGGAGGTTAAGCTAGCTATAACACCAGATTAAGCCCACAATTTTCTCTGGAAATGGCCTGTACCAAATCAGGGATGTGACTGTTGTTTTACATTCATTGCGTATAAATATTTCTCTAATTCTTCGTCAATTTATCCCTTTCTGCACCCCTTGTATAAAAAAATTTAATCAACGTGTGGTTCGTTTGATCTCAGTTCTTCATTGGTTAAAATCCGATTATGACGTCTAATTTTCTTGCTTTCCTCTGAATTTCCTATTGTGACGGCATGAAAAAGGCGACCATGCCTGATGACGTCACATATAAAGAACACATCTTTTTGCAGATCATTGGAAAAGAAGGAATAAATTTGCCTGCGTATTGTTTGAAAATCATTAGAGAAACAGATTCCACCACCAAATCTCGTGTAATACGATATTTATCCACTCTCGACAGTTAAATTTTAAATATTTAAAACGCTCGGCGAGCCTCGCGTTTTAAATTTGAAAATTTAACTGTCTCGAGTGGATAAATATCGTATCACACTCGATGCAGTGGTAGAATCTATATATATTCATTTGTTCTCATGTTTATATAACCTAATGAAATTACACCAAATTGATCTATTTGATAATCCAACAGTGTAACCATTATGAATGGCACGTCATTTTATATCCTTATATAGGAAAAGTCCTAGTGCTAATAAAGAAAAATAACAGTTACTGAAATGTGTTCATACGAAATACCCCTCCTAATTCTTTGTAATTGGTCTGATATAAAGATAGAGAATTTTGATTTTTGATTTCTGTTTTAGTTATGAAACTCAGACACATATTACAATGATATGTACCCTGTTATTTTCCAAGGTCACAAATTTCATACTAATCAAATCATCGAAAAAAAGAACTGAATGCACCTATGAAATTTTAAACATCAATTGATTTTTTTTTCCAAAAAATTGAAATATTGATCCCAATTGCATATCCTAAATCAAGTAGAAGACAAATAAAGTTGTCACTTTTGACAATCAGAATTCGATTCCTGATGTTTAAAGTACACATTGTATAACAGAAACAGTGTGTCCTTGAGAAGATGAATGGTATTGAACATTATTGAATCTTGAATGGTTACAAGATACAATCCGGCGACGGAAAAGTCCTGCTTATCTTTATTTTGACATGAAGATTACAGTAAAAAAACTTTAATTTAAAGGTCTAAATTGGATATAGCTCAAAAAACAAAACCAACATAACAAAGAGTTGGGAACTCATCAATGATATAAGACTTCTAATCTAAAGTAAAATCGGATACCTGTTCATTATTCAACATGAAAACTGCTGCTCAACAACAAAAATTTTAAAAAAAATTGTTATAAAAAACTTGTGCTTGTCGTACCAGAATCTATAAAAGACGAGACGATTTTAGTTTTGATATTATGCATTTCCCCCACCTTATCAGCAACAACTTCAACTGCATATAGGATATACATTTCCAAACTCATTTGGTATTCAAGAGCATGCAGCTGCTACTTAGACTTTAAGAAACTTCACCAGTGTCTGAACAGAAAATTGATGAACTAGAGTTATGTTAAATAACGTCCTCTTTTTAAAAAAAGATCATCGGAAGATACCAAGACCCTTGTATATACATATTCAGTATCATCATCACAAATAATACTCATAGTCACCGATTTTCCTGAAACGTAGAGTGACCTTATAATAAGGCGAGAGTACGCAAAATGCCCCCCAAAGTGTTGCTAGGCTACGCTTGCCATTGCAATAAAGTCAATGAGAATTCCCGTCCATTTTTGGGAATTTAGCATTAAAAGACAACTACTTTACATGCATTCTGAAACAAAGTCAGATTTCATTTAATGATATTTGTTAATATGCTTTAGAAACATGATACTTAATAAACTTAACAGCGCTATCATATTTGAAAAGTGTGTTGATTGAATATTGTAATAACCACAGGAGCAGAAGTCATGTTTCATTGTATTTGTGAAGGCAAATTATACACATTTAGCATGAACAACATACAGAATTTTGCAACCAACTCCATTTAAAAATATAACCTCTGTGGAGCCAAACATTATTGAATTAAACTTGTTTTTTTAACCTGATGTGTGACTGTTAGAAAGTAGTTGATGAAGAAAAAATCATATGGTGGTGCACTTTTTTTCAATTTTTTTTTTTTTTTTTTTTTGCAACCATTTGAAAGTACCCAATTTTTTAAAATTTTCCCATTTTTTATTAATTTTTACCAAAGTTTTAGCTAATACCATGAAAAAACTCACAGTTTCAGAATTAAACGTTTTTTTCATACTTTCACTAAAGATGAAGTGGACCAATCTGAATAAATTTAACTTAAAGAAACTATAGGTTGGTGTTAATATCAATAAGTTTTATAAAATTCTGGGTTTTTTTCGTGTCAAATTGACCATGCTGTCAATGTTGTACAAGAGTAGGCCTGGTAAGAACCCTTTTTGGCGCTAAAATATAACATTTCAAAAATTGGTTAAAATGTAAACTTTTAGCTATTCTTTGGAAAGACGAATAATTTTGTTACATTGATATGGGCGGTTTTTTTACATTATACTGCACATGCATCAGGTACTATCATCATCAATTCATGCAAAATTACTGAAATCTTCACATTTTTAGAATTTGTGCTAATTTTAGACGTTTTTTGTCTAAAAAGGAAGTGGCCGCACTTGTGTTCATTCTTAATATTTATATATATATATATATATATATATATATGTAGTATTTGTTGATGATACATAACATATATAAAGATTGAGACTTAACACGAATGCGGCCAGTTCCTTTTTAGACAAAAATCATCTGAAAAGTGACGTTTGTGGCATATTTGATTGAATGTCATATCTAAGCTTGAATTTATGCGCCTTTAATGACCAAATTAGTTCAATTTTTTTACATAAACTAATTCTTTCGACTGTAGAAGACCCTTAAGTGTTTAAAAAATTTCAAAAATTTTTCATCAGATGTACTTCAAATTTTAGGCGAAAATCAGCCCTTACTGGACCTTCTCCTTTGGGATTTTTTTTTCTATTTTTTTAGAACAATAAGGATATTATTTCAACTTCTTTGTTATAAATGATTGAAAAAATACATATCTAAGAATTTTGAAAAAAAAATATTTGATATGGATGTACATATTTTTTGTAAAATCATTTCTTTGTACCCCTCACTCATTTCTCAACATTTTGTCTGATGACATTGACCGGATTAGTACTTTAAAACTACTACACAATTTTTTCATAGAGTTAATATTTTTCCAATACTTAAATATTTTCCACTTGTATCACATGTTTTGGAAATAATTCCCGAACGAGATTTCAACAAGACTGAAACATCAGAAGGATACATCCTTAAGTTGTGGTAATAAATCTAAAATGTCAATGTTTCTAGTCAATAATTTACAACAAAATGTGTGGGATTTAGGGTGCTAGATTGCTTGCTATAAAAACAAAAATGTGTCATTTTATTTTTTTTCAGAAAATCAATCATGTTGTTAAGATAAAGCAAGAACAGTAATTTCTATTGAATATATATGATGTGGAAACTATTGAGCATTAAATGACCTTCAATTTGACCAAGGTCAAAGGTAAAAGATGACCTTGACCTTTGATCTTATTTATATTAATTGGATTTTGTAAGAAAAGATAATAGAAAAAAGCAAAAACACATGAAAAAAATGTTCAGCATAATTAAAGCCACAATTTTATTTACAGGTCAATAGTAAAAAGTCGAAGTCATGCCAAAAGTGCTCAGCAACCACCCTCATCTTATATCAAAGTACCTAGTCACCATGCATGTGTTGATGGACTGTATGGATTATTACATAGACTCTACCTAATCAGGTCAGGGGTAAATGTTATCACACTTGTCCATAGCAACCATTCTTTTCTAGTTGGAAGTTGCCTAGCAACCTTTCATTTACATATTAAAAGCGACTAGTAACCAGTTATTCATATTGGAAAAGGGCTTACAACAATATTTTGTCGGTTTCATTTAGACAAAAATCAGGAACAAATTGATATCACACATGGAGTTTTCTTTAGATTAGTATTCCCTTTAAAGAACACATAGTGTTTGTACCGAATTGTTGAATTACATTGAATCGATTGTACACATGTATAATCCAGAATAGTCAATTATATGGAAAATCCAATTTCAAGGTTGAAAAAAATCATCATTATAAAAAAAAAAGAAGATGTAGTATAAATGCCAATGAGACAACTCTCCACAGAAGACCAAAGGTTACATTTAAGACAGGTCCTTTGAATCTAAAAGCAAGACGAAACGAACAAAATTGCTTAGAGGATGACTAGTTTATTTCCTTTGTTAGGGTAGGGCTTTTTGGAGTCAATAGACAATTTCGATCATGTTGATTAATTAGTCTGGTTGGAAGTTTTTAATATTAAAGTTTCTTTCTATCTGTAAAAAGTTTCCATACAAATAACTAAAATATGCTAACTTACTTTCTATCCGAACTCCATAAGATGCTGTGTGATTCACCTGTCATGTTTGCGTAAGATTGATAACAATAATATATAATAAGTACATCATATGTTTAAAAAGAGAGAAGAAAGATACTAAAGGTGCATTTAAACTTATAGGTCGAAAATATACCGTCAACGTCATGGCAAAAAACGTAAAATGAATAAAGAACCCAAACAGTAACAACAAAGCATAAAAAACTAAAGACTGAGTAAGACGACCCATCCACTCCCCTCCCCCCACCACACCCCCATCCTAAAAAAAAGTTAACCAATGTGTATTAAGAAAATGGTATTCATATCCTATCAATGTACAACAAAATTGACAAGAAAACTAAATTAGATCTCTGGTTTAAAGGACAACACATACATTCAACGAAGTTATTGAAACAAATGCAGCATTGATCATTTTAGTAAAAACAAGTATATGTATATAATTTGGTCTAGAGGTAAAAAAACTGCTTGATTTTTTTGGGAAATAATTAAAGAACTTTGTGCATGCATATGTGTTAATTGTAGTTTTACAAATGACAAAATATACTCATCTTTTATAACATAATAAGTATCTCAATATCTAGATCCACCACCATACCCAGCTCTGACGTCATACCTAGATCCGACTCCATATCCAAATCCACCTCCATATCCAGATTCACCTCCATATCAAACTCCGCTACTATATCCATCTCCGTCACCATATTCAACTCCGCCTTCATATCCAACTCTGCCACTGTATCCAGCTCCACCTGCATTTCCAGCTCCTCCACCAATTCCAGCTTGTTCTCTAATATGTATGTATTATCAATTGATGGCAAATCAAGCCATCAGCAGTGTCTAAGAACCAGAACCTCCACCGGTTCCACCTCGACCATATCCTTGACCAGAACCTCTACCACTTCCACCTGAACTAAGAATAAAATTAAGCCTACTGCCATATCCTTCAGCTTCGCCACCAAACCTAGATCAATCTTCATATCCAGATCCACCACCATATCCAGCTGCAACTCCATATCTAGATTCACCGCCATATCCAGATCTACTTCCATATCCAGCTCCGCCACCATATCCATCTACGCCACCAAATACAACTCTGCCTCCATTTCCAGCTCTGCATCTGTATCCAGCTCCACCTCCATTCCCACCCCGCTATCAATTCCAGCTTGTTCTTTAATATGTATATATATTGTGAATGGAGGGAAAATATAAGCCATCGATAGTGTCTGAGAACCAGAATGTTAATTTGACAGGGCCATGTGAGCTTTTCCCATCACTTGGGGTCCTTTGTCTGTCGTCGTCCGTCGTAGTCGTCATTGTTTGACGTCCGTTATCTTTTATAAAAGATCATCTCATCTAAAACTACTGGGGCAAATTTAACTAAACTAGGCCACAATCATCAATGGGCTATTTAGTTTTAAAGTTGTGTCCGATGACCCCGCCTTCCGACAAACATGGTCGACATGGCTAAAAAGAAAACATAGGGGTAAAATGTAAATTTTGTCTATTATCTTAAAAACTGCTATAGACAGATAAAATCTGACAGAAGCAAAATTGTTTTAACTGAAAAGATCTACCTAATGACTGTGACATCAAAACTTTAAGACGCCCTTCTTATAGGAGTTATTACCCTTAAACGAAAAATTTGACTTTTTTTCATTTTTGCAAATTATCTCGAAAATAATAATAGATAAATAGAAACTTCAAGAAGGAATTTAAGTTCCATCTTTATTGCCTTTTTTTATAAGAATTGTATAATTTGCTGCGTTTGAAAAAAATGATATTCGTGGTTGACTTTGAAAGAAAGAAATACAATTGCTACCCCTTTAAATACTTTTGAGTAGGGTATTTTCTGTTATCGTGTTTTATTTGTTCTTCATTTTGTGTCGATTATTATTTTCCACAACATTTGTACCATGACAAAAATGCCTAGTAACACTTTTGCTCTACATAACCTGACAATCTGTTTACTTTGTTTGTTTTTGGTAACCTTTTTGGGGTCGTAACTTATTAAACATGTATCAATTTTCACTGTTCATGGCTGTAAAACATGAAACTCAATTCTTCTTGACATTGCCACTCAAATTATATGACGTACTGAATATATCTTAAAGTTTGGTATGTATTCCACCTTGTAGTCCATTCGTTTGTCTTAGAAACTTGAACAACTCAGATAAATTAATGAACTATGATATTATAAATACATGATATTATCAAAGCGTTAACTATGATATTTTTTACAACTCAAATTAACACTACGCACGTTGTACAGTGTCACCATCACCGACAAAACTGGTTTGTGTCTTTATTCTCATGAGACATGTTATCTTGTGCTAGGACCTTCAAATATGACTCTTGTTTAGTACGAACATTTATTCTATTTTGCTAATTCACTATCTGGAATTTGAACTAATTAGATATAAGAAGATGTGGTATAAGTGCCAATTAGACAACTCTCCGTCCAAGTCAAAATGTATAAAAGTAAACCATTATAGGTCAAAGTAAGACTGGTTTCAAATAGCAAATGATGAATTCACAAAATGGGGCAGATACTATCAACTTAAAACAAAAAAAAAACCTAATTTTATCTCTGGTATGATATAAAAAATCCTATATTATATACTTCGTAGTAAATACAAGTAAATTGTCTGTGTAATACAATCGATGGCAATCTGGCTTTATCAGCCAACCATGATTATATCGATATCAGTCACAGTACTAAGGGCTTGATCAAACCCCTAATCTGTATGACGTCACGTAATCGATATCAGTCACGATTACAAGGGCTTTATCAAACCCCTTATATATGTTTTACGTCATGTCACGTGAAAAAACATCCAAATTTGTACTTGAGGTACATGTATAAAATAAAGTGTCTATGATATTATATTGGTGTCTCGGGTTGATACATATGTGATATTGAAAAAGCCATATGATATTTTCTATTAAGCAACAAACTTACTGACGCTCAATCAGAATGAGTGTTTTGTTAAAAAGGCAGTTTCAGAAACATTGTTCTCACAATTGAGACTTTCGGTTGGCTTTTGATAATTATAAAAAGTTATGATTTTTTTTTTCTTTTTTGTTTATTTTCAAATTTTATAAGTATCAATTTGTGAACACAATAAGTACACAGAAATGACATACAGTTGGTATGAATCTCTTTTTTCCGCCTGAAACATATCCGTCACTAGATCATCTACTGGATTCTCTGGACAGACCACGATATCTAGGCCCAACGCCAAATCCTGCGGCCAATTTTTAATTTCCAGTTCCACCGCCATTTCCAGCCAACCACCATTTTCTGCTCCTCCAAAATTTCCAGTCATACACTATTCTCCAGCACCACTACTACCGATTCCTATTCCGCGGGCTCCTTATTTCCAAAACTTTACCCACTGCTGTAATCCCGAGTGTGTCTATGGTTAGTTAAGTACCATGGAAACAACTTGCAGCATGTATCCAATTTCCATGAAAACAATGGTTCCAGTCTGCATTGTTCATAAAAAAAAACATCCCATCTCTACACTTTGCCTAATTGTAATATACGATGTCAAAACCATATACGAAAATATATGAGTAAATAACGTTTTCAATGAGCCACGACATCAAAAAATATCCGATTATATTGAGGTAATATTGAAAATATAATGTCAGTTTATTTTGGCTGATGGATCATACTTATTGTCATGTAACTATGTCTCTAGGGGTTGCTCACACACATTTTTATCAATATACACGGAATTATAGACAACTGTCAACATTCGGGAGGCCATTCTACGACAACAATATTGGTTTTCAGCCAATTACGTGTAACATAAAATAAAAATATATGATATAACGTATATTAGAGCCATTTATATTTTTGTACGAGATGGTATTTAAAATTTTTTTTTTAATCTATCTATGTTAAACTTGCAAGACTTTTAATAACATAAATCTTTATAAATATGATATAAATTGACAGCGACATCATGAAATCATATGTTGTCATTATCTACGATGTTGGATACTTTAATGTCATAGGCATGTTCTGATATCATATATTTATAAACATAAACGATTCATATCTGGTAAATATATTAAAATGCATCTATTCATTGTAATGAAATACCATATCGTACAAAAATACTAAGTAACGTGTATATCAAACTTACAAAGATGACTTTTTGTATCTAAATTTTAAAAAAAACAATAAATTATCCTCCGAAATATGTCTTTCATCTATTTTAGACCGATATATTGATGAAGGCAAATTCAAATTTTAGCTCTTCAACGTTTTAGTTCGGTTTGGATTTTCACATGTTTTGGTTCGAGCGTCACTGAAGAGACATTATTTGTAAAAATGCGCATCTGGTGCAGTAAAATAGTATCGTTAATCTTATTAAACTTTAAAAATGCGTCAATTATAGCTGAAAAATCCCCTCCTCCGTCAAATAAGTATAGCTAGGCAGTTTATTTGACATTAGTTGCTTAAATAAAATGACTACAGCAGCAAGACACCCCTCAACACTGTCAACTATGGATTCATACATTTTCGTGGAAACCCATTTCTCTTTATTGAGGACAGTTTTCATGTTCCCGGATATTTTATATTGTGCTTTTACCAAAGTCTGCATACAATCCCATTGGGAAATCGTGGTTTATGTATACCCATGAAATGCATAAAAATGAAGTGTGTATGGAGTTTTTTTGTTATATTTGTAGTTGATGGAAAGCTAGCAATATTACAATGTTGTGACCTATGATTTAATATTTGACTGTTGAGTTCTTGTATTATGTAGTGTACATGTAAACTTGAGTTTAATTCCTTTTTGTGTAACAATTTGTAATTGTCTTTTAGTTTAATCGTTTTGTTATTCAGTAGATCAAGATTGAAATGAAGAGGGCTACGATTAATTCTTTCTAGCAGTTCAGGAATTTTTTGTTTTAGGCAGGCCCTTTTATTGTGTCAATCATTTTTTTTTTAAATTAGTATTAACAGTTGATCACATTTCGGCAATTACAGTTCTGAGGAAATACAAGTTAGTCATTTAAACAATGGTAATGAATTGAACATAAACAAATTCAGAATTGTGTCAACATCAACGGACAAACATAACCAAAACACATCCAAACTTTTACGTACAGTGGTAAAAAATATACAAATGTCTATGCAGTTAGAAAAATTATAAATTGTTATAAATTAGAGGATAAATAGTTTACCTAAGTTCATATCTCATTAATCCTTAACGAAAATAAAAAAAAGATAAAATACAAATATTGGGGGGTTTGCATGACCTCAAAAAAAAGGAGCGGGATCGGAGTAAAGAATAAGACTATGTGCGTTAACAGTATGTTGAACAGTTACGCATTTATTCCAGTCAATGAGGTCAGTTTATAGGCAAGGACACAAGCGATGTGAATACACATTTTACGATTAATATACAAGAAGGTCACATAATTTCGAAATAAGAGTAAAACACTTTTCCTTCTTATGTCATTTCAGTTTCAGTTTCAGTTTAACCTTTATAAGAGTGATCCTTTTAGAATTTAGACTTAACAGGTAGTTATGTGTGTATGATTTTACGACAAGCACGTTGTCAAGAAAGGTAAAATGGTTACATGTCATCCTACCACAGTACGTGCATTAGGCTTAGCAGATTACTATCGCTGTTTGTCTTCATTTGTTCATGTCGTAAGTCGTTTTTCT